GCACCAAGTTTCTCACTATTGAGTGAAAATTTTTCGTGCTTACCAGCTGGCATTGTACACACCGTGGTGTTCTTTTCAGCGTAGCGGAGCGTGGAACAGTTCACTTTTCATCGTATCTGTGCCGAAAGAAAAGTGGCCCTGGTAGCCGAGCGCCGAGCTACCTAGTTTCCACGCCCTTTAATTACCGCCGCACCACGACTAGTCGCGCCACACCGAGAGAAGTTGTCATTACGGCTGCTAAAGAGCCGTCTATAGTGTTGTGTGGTCCCTTGCTACATTCTGTTCTCTCCTCTCTCGCGGCAAAGGTCGTCAGAAACGTCAAGAAAAAGCCATTGTCCAGTTCGAGATCCTTTGTTCGGGCCACTCAACCGGGCCTGTGTCCACCTTTAACGACCAACTCGGCTTCGTCATCGGGGACATCCTGCGATTCTCTTTCCCGGTCGGTAACCACACTCGAATGACAGATACACGGGCGTGATCCATCTTTGGGCGTTAACGGAGAGATTGATGCTTGGCTTTTTCTTCACTCGTTAGCGACCAGATAGGTTAATTTGTCTGAAGGTAGGCTAGGGTATATTTATCAGTACCTTAGGTTAACTACGTTTTTACATTCTGCTTAACGAGTCGAATCAAGGGAAGATGAAGACAACTGATCTCTAGTTGTCGCGGGATGCTCCAGATTGGTAGTTGGTAGTCGTTAGAGAACTATGATCTTTAGAGATGATTTTGCATCATTATGGAATACATTTAGCTAGACAGTTGATAGGTATATTTCTGCAATCTAAGAGGATATATTCGATTTTGCTATTTAAGGGGTTTGCAGTAATTTGAGTAGCTTTCTATTTCACAATATCACAGTATTGTGAATGCTAGCCTATTTCTAGTACAGTTTCAATTATTTCCTCGCTACCATTAAATTTATCAAACTTAACCTGGCGCGATCAAAAAATCCTGTAACCCCAGCCGTATTCCCTCTCAACCTATCTAAGAGCGAGAGAAATCGATTCGAGTAGTATAAAAACGTGTTCCACCAGACGCGTACAATGTCTCCCCGGCGAAGGTAGAAACGGCTGATTCCCGTGGGCGTTCTAGGCGTTCCAGCTCTCTCAACAGTTTGTGAAAACGATTTAGAAACGCGGCTGAATCGCACAAAGGAAACTGTGGTGCGTTGACCGTCCTTTCGAGGCCCAGACACCGTTGCCCTTGGAATTCCTTTCACGAATACCTGCGCCGTCTTTCTGCACCGAACATAAAGCAAGGTAAAGCTCTATAAAGCGGGTATAAAATTCGTCTGCCTCTGACTCGTTTGCGAATAGGTAATCCGTGGAATAGGCGTTTTTAATTGCCGCTCGCTTCCAAGGACAACGGTGAACATCCCCATAGGGAACGAGCAAGCGGGCCTTTAAACCTACTCAGTTTATTCATCCGTACGTTTACTTCGACTGCTTCTCGAACATTAACTCGAATCAGATAGGGGTTTCTACTCGGTTCACCGATAGTCCGGAGAATTCCTTTTTTGTAGAGTTTTCGTTACTGCGTGGGTTTTGCAGAAATATACTTACATATACGTATTACAATTAACATGTGGTTGGGGCAATTGAACGTTGGCAGTGGATCGTGAAATATCTCGTTTTTATGTGTCTCGTGATAATCGTATACCGAAAGTTTGTTTATCGTGAGGTAATGTAATTTTTGCTGTCGTGTTATCCGGCTAGTGAGTTTCGTGATAACCGCTAACAAGAAATCTCTGAGACTAAACAGTCAACGTCTTACATTTAGCTCCATTGGAAAAACGTAGTATTACGTTTATCTAACCAACAATCGTTGAAAGTCAGAGAGGTTTTCTCGAGTGCAATTAAACGGTTGCAAATTCAAAGATGTAAGGAGGAAAATATGAAAACACATAGGTGCTAAGAATAGTTTTACGAACTTCTTATTAATTGCGAGAAATTTCATTACAGTTCGCTGCTTTGTCATTGAACTTCATTTTTTCACTGATCACTTTTATCTATACATGTTTATCAAACAAACTAATTTTACAGATTGAGAGACGAAGAAAGCCAATTAAAGAGAAAACTAGTACTTTCCAATATTGTGACCCGCGGCAAACGCTTCCAACCATCGCTAAATCAGGAATCGTAAAACTTAATGATATTTACGGATCGTGTAAGATTGGTAGGTTCACGAACTCGTTGTTTATCGATTGTTCTGGACACTGAGCGATTTCTGCGACTCTATATAAGCTGAATCCACCCACGTTCGACGAAAGAAGTCTCGAGTTTCAGTCGATCTCCAGTATGTGGAATAAAAAAAGAATCGTTAGAGATGCAGCGACGTCTGCCTCGTCTCTAGCATGTTATATGCAAATTTTCTACCTTCTGTCTGTGCCGACCAGCGTCTGGGATATGAATCATGTTAACGTCTCCAGTTGCAAGCCGGAAATACATCCGATGCGGCGTTCGAATAAAACATGTGAATTTCTTTCGGACTTTTGGTTTGTCTTCAGTTTGCAGGTTATATTATCATAGCGAAATAAATAATTAATAAACGTAGATAATTGCAAGCGGAGGATAATTCTGATAGTTTGTTTAAATTTATTTCGAAACGAAATATTGCAGAAGAAATAAAATCACGTTATTTCTTAGGAAAATTAAAAGTGTCAAAGTGGTCTATATCGATGGAGAATTTTTATTGCAATTTGAATTTTTTCACCTTGTCTCAAAAGCTTAAGGGGCTTTTTATTAATTTTTATCCTCAAAGCTTATGAATACTACGCGTTACGCTGGTCTTAATTCTCCTTTATATTTTTATAATAGTACAATTAGGAACTTTTTAAAGTTTGAATATCCTAATTATCGCCTTGACAAACTTGTTCGACAATCTTAATTATCACCTTGGCAGACGTAATAGCCTTGGTTACTCAAGTTGCATAGTTGTATAACAATTAGATCGCAGCCAAACTCTTTTGCTGCTCTTGCTAAAAATAGGACGTCGTAAAATAATTTCAATCGTCGAATCTTACGATAAATCGACTTTTTGCTTGGTACCATTTACTATTTTTCCAATGGAATTTTCAATATATTATATACTTACAATTTGAAATATTCGATTTAAAGAAAAAGCAAATAATCTATACAATGAGATTATTAAAACCAGTAGTTCGAATCAGTTTCTTGCAACTACCTTTTATATCAATTTCCCGGTTTACAACTCACATCGGCGTAAAGTAAGTATATATTGTTGCTTGCCTGATTAACCAAATTTTATTCTCATCTTCTTATCTTCACGCATATAATCACGTAAAATCGCTTCTTGTATCAGTCATGTAAAAAATACATAGTTCCATCAGTTGAAGCTTTCAGTCACGTTCGCTCGATATAACTTCATCCCATCGATCTAACGGTGAACAAATGTCATAACACAGTCGTTCATTTTATTAATATATACATATCTTTATTTTAATTTGGTATAAATTTTGTATTATTACCGCCGGTAGTTCTAGCGTTAATACAACTAAAGATCTCTATATGCTCGTACATATATCAACACATAATATAATAGTGTTTGAAATAAGCCTGAATTACCACGAGTAAAATATACAATAATCGTGCGGTATAATTGTTAAAAATGACAACGTGAGTTCTCGCTCGCCATCTATATGCTGACAGCTAGTTACAAAGAGGAGTAACTAGAATATATTACTAGACACGGTCGATAGACCAGATCGATAGTTTAAGACTTCCTTTTCATTCATTCGTTCGTGTCCCTTCCAAGCGTGTGCAATAAAGGTTTTCCGGCTCCGAGAAGTGTGGTGTTTTTCATCCGAATAATAAAGTAATAACTAACGCGATCCTACCTCTAAATATAAATATAACAACAATAATTTTGTCCTCTTGATATTACTTCAATATGTTGAATAAAAGATTTAAATGAAATAGTAAAAAATTTCTCAACTAGTTTCTAAAAACTCTCTTCGAGATATCTACATCAATCTTTGAAAATCTTTGAAATCTAAACGCGTACCAAATAGGTAGCTTCCTATTTCGTGCCAACAGCGTCTTATCTTCATAGCGAGAATGAACTTGCTCATTTTAATGCAACGTTCACGCGTATCTAAAATATTGGTGGAGCAATGAAATACGACAGGGTCCCTCCGTTAAACCTCGAGGATCGTTCAACGACGCGTAACGAAGCAGTTTCACGGGATCTCGCGCTGTCCGGAATCATAATCGCGATGACGAGGCGGATCTCTGATGGCCACTCGGGTTCCTATTGTTCAGGGTGCGTGGAAGTCGCGTGCAGCCTGCGACGAGCACCTAGAAACTATTTAATCCAACCGACGTTCGCGAAACTATTGATGATCGATGACGTATGAACTCGAGGAACAATTTTTAGATATTATGTTCGTAAAACTGGCTGGTTTGTTTACCTTAATCATTTCAAGAGAGATTCTTTCACTAATGAACTGATTAATAGCAATTAAAAATGAACAAATAAAGGTAACACACGATACGATAATATCGATTATAATGTACTAAAATTTGGAAAAATTAGGTAAACTCTTCGTGGAACCACCTAAGTGGCATTTCATCTTTAGATTTCATTGATCGAAAGATTTTAAACATTGAATACCTACCTTTGAATTTCTCTTTGAATTTGTGTCTCTATCGAAAAAGTTTGAGGTATTTTAAAGTTTTAAAGTTTCAATGATAATTTCAAGAAGTCTCAGATATGTCAGAAAGCCTGTAACAACCCAGCAGTCTTACAAAACGTTGCTTCGGGACGTATTAGGCTTCGTGGTTTCGTAATCCTGATAGGTTTAAGGCTTGTCCAGATTTCCAGACAATTATCCGCGGACACGTGTCCACGGACAGTCAATATTGGCAAGTCTTTTGTCTTCCGTCGAAGTGGAACACAAGAGACTACGTCTACAAGACGGATTGTCTGTGAATCTAGAGAAGCCTTTGCAAGTCTGAAACGCCGTTTATATTTCCTTGCAGAGTGTATATCTCGAAAGATGAATAAACACGAGACCCTCCTAAATTAATCTGTACTTCGAGAAGATCGAGAGTGAACGGAAAGTCGCGTAATTAAGTGAAAGTCTGAAAAGCACGCGAATCTGTTGGATTTGTTCGTGGAATTTCTTCGTAGTCTGGTTGAACGAGTGGCGAGAGAATCGAAAGGCGTTCCAGAAGCGTAAAAATAGGCACGGGCATATTTGTGTGATGATTCGATGTACGACGGAAGAGAATTCAAGGGTCAAGTTGCTGTTTTATGATTCCGTCCCGTTTCTCGAAATATCCACGTGAAAAGGAGGGAAGAAGGAACGATCGCGGGCGTAGCGGTTCTTTTAAAGAACGACCACGTGAAAGATAAAGGTTGAGAAACTCGACGTCGATTGCTTCAAATGGAAGAACTAGCGTTTTCATCCGATCAACGTCATCCGATATCTGGACGATAAGTCAGCCAACTGAACGACCGCGAGAGCCGTCTCGTCGGATTGTCCGCCCGAGATCGATCGATTCGTCTATTTTTCCTTGGTTTTTCGGTCGTTTGAAAGATCGCGAGGCTGGATTGTGAGACATGGATGCCTTGCAATTGCAAGCAGCCCTGGTGAAGCTGGATCCAGCCACCACGGTGACGCCGATCGGCTCGAACGTGAAAATGCTGCCGGCTCATCATCGTATCGCGTTCACGGTCGATTTGGACGAGAACGATATAACGTTGGAAAACGCGACGCAAAACGACGAGAAATCGAACAACATGGCTATGCAGACGAACAACGCCTCTAGAAAGCTTCACAACAATTGCTCGGCCCAGCTGACCGTACCAGGCCATCAGAATCATCCTAACAACCGGCAGATAGCGGTGTCCAAGTGCGAAATGGCGGAGGTCAGGTGACGCCAGCCTGGCTACGACCTTATCTTTTATCACACTTATCCACCGCACAGGGGCAGCAAGTATCATGCTAAGCATCACGCTAAGGAGATGAGACATCATCATCATCATACAATGCATCATCAGCATCACAGATCTCATGTGGTGAGTCAGTGCGTTCTATTCGTGCGTGATCGTACGTTGTTTTACTATACATTGGGCAGGTTTCTTCTTTTTCGTTTTCTCAATTGCGAACTGTCCATGTTTGTGTCTATTGTTTGGTAGAAAATGTCTGTTTCTGTATTTCCTCTGTTTTCGTAACTCTTCTATAGTCTTTGGAATTTTTTTATTTAAACGTTATTTACGATTAAATTAATTCTGTATCACCTATATTCGATACTGCTGTCGTTTAATTGAAAAAATTTTCCTTTTTCTTTTTTTCTATTTTTCGTTTGACCGGAAAGTTTTCTTATATTTATACAGTAGTAAAAATGTTCGTTTTCTTTTTATCCAATAGCGTTTGGTTAGAGAATTTTCCAATCCAAAAAGAAACGGATCGTTGACGCAACATTCAAGAAAGGAATTCAAGCGATTTTATTTTGCAAAATTCGAAAAGTTAGAGAGAAGGAAAACGCAATTGGGTCAAAAGAATTTTAAAAAGCGTAACAGGGTTAAGTTCTTTCTTTTATGTTAGGTTTTCTACGAACTCATTGTGTAAATTACAAAATTATCGACGAAGGATTTTAGTACAATTGGAATCGTTGTTCCGACTGGTTGTTTAAACATGTCAATGTTACACTATAGTATAATTATTTTTCGATTCATGTATTTATGTCTATGTAGATGGATTATGTGTTACTAGGGCATGCATGTTGTTCATCGTGTAGTGAAATCATATGGTTAAGCATTCAACTGCTTTTACTTCGCGGTACTGTTATTATAGCGAAAGCCAAACATTTTAGTCGTCATTACAACATCTAATCGTTAATAATTTTCCTTTAGCTACATCGTCATGCTTCTTTTCTGCATTTCATAAAATTCTATCTTATTTCATCTTAAAATTCTTAATTCTTAAAATTCTATCTTATTGGAGTACAGTTCAAGGTGAAAAATTTTTAAATGAAAAATGTAGGCTAAGCAGAGTAAATAGGTTAAAGTATAAAATACCGTTCGTATGATTCGACAAAGGTTGAGAAATTAAAGGACCGTGTTTCATAAGTAGATAAATGATTTTAAGCACACAAAATCACTAGCCTGGATTATGGGCTCTGTAATATCATTGATGGAAAAAGTGTTCTTTGTCATTAGCGTCCATTAACGTTTCAGCCATGTCCGTTTCTGTTACGTAAAGTTCGTTACATTAAAACGCGACCAAAGAAAAATTACATTCTCACATCAGTATATATGTCGTGTATATGTTTTATGTACAATATAGCGATAGCAATAGACTGAAAAGAATTTCTGAAGTTTATAAATGGAGACGGAAATTGAAGTATTTTAAGACCGATCTCTCGTTTATGAATCATATATTCTTCTCGTATATCTTCTTATTATTACTGACCTCTTATTTGCGTTCACGCATTTTTTAATGCGTACATCAACGCTATTCGATTGGAAAATTTCATTACAAAGCGAACGAAAAGATCTCGCTCGAAAATAGTCGTAGAAATCCAACACCGTCTTGCGCACAGAAGATTCATCTCCAACAGATACTACGTTATCATCTATCCAGAATGATGAATTGTTCAGAAAAGTGATGACGAAGTTTGCAACTTCGTGATGAATATAGCAACTCGCAAATAACATCCGCGTATATTTATTGAAAGACATTTCTAGCGAGTTGGTAATATCGGTCAAGTGTCAAACTTTATATATCGTGCACCTTAACGATTGAATTGAGGGAATCTCCAGAGAATAAGCACTCAAAATCTGAGTCAAGGTTGTCGCAAATAATCTTACCTTTAAATAATTTCACCCCTTTGATTCAGTACTTCCCCCTTTCATGATCAATTGGATTTTTGAAAGTGTCGTAATATCAGCGTAGCTGCAACGTTAGTACTATACAATAAACGTCTAACGTTTAATTTCTCAAGGATCAAACGATCAACTTCGATGGAGTTAATCAACTTGTCGTTTAAGTGGCTCAATCGGTAATGAAAAAATGTTCGTCATGACGCAAGAAAATACGATACTAAAAGTTCCTTTGGAAAACAGGACGCCGTCTAAGTATCTCTGCGTCAGTCTCTGGTGTTACTCAAATTTGAGACGTCGTTAGATTTCTTCGAGTGACAATTACTCGCGAGAAAAGCAACACGTAATGGGCCTATCGCGAGTCACTTAGCTGCTCTAGCATCGGACTATCACCGATGCTAGCCACGGTATGAGCATTAATGGACGTATTTCCGGGACACGAGGTTGCCTAACGTAAATGAGACGAGATAGAATGGCCGTGCACTGTGACCTGAATTTCTTTAAGGGCACCGGTTCGAAGGGTGATCGTTCACGTAGACTTGTTACAGTTCAAGAACAGGGACATAACCCATTTCAGTTCAGAGGAAACTATTGACAAGTACATCGCTGAAACCGCATTCAATTGCATTCGTGCAACCATATAAAGGAATAGTAATTACTGGACGATCTTTCTTTTGATTGCACGGGTTATTTCTTTATTATTGACAGTGGAAATTTCGTACTAATTTAATTCGCTGTAATCGATGTCTAATCTGTCGATGGTTAATATTCTGCAATATTGGTAATTTCATTGGGGATTTTGGTAATCTTCGTTTATCGGACAGTTTCTATGAAGCTAATATCTCCTGATTGTATTAGGTTGTCCGAAAAGTGTCTTTCTTTTACAGACACGTTTTTTACAACAACGCATCTTTATACAAACATGAAAGCTAATCTGTCAAATGTTGTGATCTTTATCTTAATAAAACAAAATGGATCATACGTAATTCGATAAAATAATATAAAACGAAAAATGTTGTGCATCCATTATTTCCTTACGAAACGAAAGAAACTTTTCAGACGACCTAACGACTGATCTTGAATGTTAGATTCTTTGGTCAATGATCGATTATCGTCATTTGAAGATGTAAAACTATGTAGGACGCATATAGTGGTCTTATAACATTCGGTCACTCTGTTCACGAATGGAAGTTACCCTAACTGAATCTTCAGTTAATTCAGCACGAAGGTTGAGTAACAAATGAACTTCAACCGCATCTGACTAGTGACGCTAGAAAACTCATTACCTAGAAGCTTCTCTATTCTACAAATCTATTAAACAAACCTTTTGTATGCGTACATAAATCAAGTCATTCGTTAGAAACAGTATAGTACATATATCATGTTGAACGATATACAATTTAGCAATTTAATTACAGACGTCCAGCTTTCTTTATTACGATATCTACTATAACTTTATTTTTCTCCGTCAATTAAAAGTATTAGTTTTGCACCCATTTTCGTTAATTATACGTAGATTAATAATACAATTTCAGAATAAAATTTCACCATACATTTCACCATTTTTTGTTTCACACGAAACGATAAATTCAATACAAACCAAATATTCGACGAATCTCGAATGTACCTAGTAAATATTTCAACGATCATAAACCAGAGAGATCAGGAGAAATACACGCAGCACGATATATCGACGAGATCATACCAGTGGTTGGGAAAAAAGAGGGACACGGACTAGACGATCGGCTATCACGCGAAACGCGTATCAGTTTTGTTGCGCGAACGCCGGTTTGCCTGAAATCGAAACCCAGTTCTGTTAGGTCGCAAATATTGTTGCATTCGCTTTTGACAAGCGGCACCGTTAAGCCTTCGTTGCGGCAACGTCAGACGTGATTCATATCTGCTCGACATTGAGCCATTGGCGAAACGTTATACTCTTATTCCGGGTGTAGCTCCCAACCTGCATAAACCATGCAGAAAGCAGAATTACTTCTGGTTCCAATGTTATTCCGCTTACAGGAAATATTTGCAGATGTTTCACGTTTTTTCAACGAGGCTTGTTTCTTAATGAAGCCTTTAGGATTTCTTTCCGGAATGAATATATAATCTTTATAATCGTATGAAATTATTTTTCCAATCCTCTTACATAATGACCACTTCATTTAGGTTTTCAATAAAAAAATTTAAAACATTAAGGATTATTCGCTTGACGACGAGCTGCGGTTAAGTAACTTAAAACTTATACGTGTATGTAGCTTTCGCATTTGCTGTGTCTCATTAATCGCTTTCCTATTTATAGAACATTGTAATCCGTCGAGAAGCACTGAATTTTCAAACAAGTTGGGATAATCGATCGTTTGTGTTTCCACGTGCGTGTTTAAATAGTCTACATAGTATGTCCACATTAGGGGGATTCATGTGAAATTGTTTTTCGGCCTGTTGAACATAAGAGGATGATATTTATCGCTGATATACGAGGAAATATTTAGCGTTCGCTGAATTGTCTTTTAACTATTCTGTCACAGAATGGTCGATTCGATATTTCTCTCTACTTATTATCAATTATACTGAAAAAAAAGAGTACGTGTTCGAATAATTCTACAAAAGATACAAGTATCGTTTAAATCGAAAAACAAAATTCTACGGTATAAATCTTCGCGTACAACAAATAAAATCACGTTAAGGTTACACGGAGGAAGAAACAGGAGCGACCAGAATGGCTCAGTAATTCCATTACATCAAATTACCTACAAAAATGATGGATCGAGTCCAAGAAATCGAATCATGTTGCACTCGTTTCCATCAAATTTAACAGAATGGATTTGTTATCCCAGTGATAAATAGATGCTATCGAAGATAAAATTAGCATCGTTTATGTGCCACAATGATCCGATGTACGAACAGGGATGACAGTGATACAGGACAAATTCTATGTAGAATTGACATGAGCGTGGTCTTTCATTAATACGAGACACCTGTAAATCTGGTAACGATCGCATACACCGCACGAAAAGCAATTCAACCCTGATCCCTATCAACGTCTGCAAACGAGCACACGGTGCTTAAATCGATCGAAAATTGCCAGTCAAGAATTGGATCAAGCTTGTCGTGTCTGGAAGCACGTGTAGTACACGGAGAGACAATACGTTCACATTGCTACACATTTCCCCTTGTGCAGCCTGGACAA